GGTTTGAGAGCCAGATGTGTGTGGCAGCATCCCCCGAAGTTACCTGAAAGCAGCAAGAGAGTGGAGCTGGGAGGGACCGAGAGAAGCAAAGTGGCCTCTCTGAATTCTGCCACGTGAGAGGACAGACAGGAGGAGATGGAAAAAGGTTCAACTAAGACATACAGGACAGATGGAGAGGGCCTGAACACCAAGCAGAAGGCAGAGGCTTTGTCTATCTCAGAGAGGACCATCAGAGGTTTTGAGGAAGACTGGGGGATGTAAGGAGGCTACACAACCCCAAAGGAGTTGCGATTTCCAAAGTGTCCCTTTGGTTGCGTCTGCAGCAGACTCCTCTTAGTTAACTGGCCCGAGCCAACTCAAACACACCCCAACCCCCACCACCCCCTTCTCCAAATCGGCTCCTTCAGATTGTCACTCCCCACAGGGCTGCATTCATGCATCCGTTCTAAATAGTCCCACTGTTCAGCTTTAACGAGAAGTAATACCAATGCCCGTGTTTGCTCAGAGAGCACCATATTTCATCAAACCAGAGCCCATGCAGGCTCAGATTACTGTCCGAGACAATGTTCTGTAATCCTGGTTTATTCACATGTCACGGGTATTTTAGCAAAACAGAAATGAATGGCCCTCACCACCCTAGGAAGGACGGGGAGAGCTGGGTCCCCGCCCAGGGGAAGTCGTGCTTAGCCTGGCCACAGTTCTCAGAGAGGCCGACTCTGATCCTCTTGGTTTTTCCTGACTTTCAGAAAGAGAGTGTGGGCTGAGGAGGAATCACAGATAGGGTAGTTATTTCCCCATAAAATGTGAACTCCACGGATGAGTTTTGCCAGAGCAAAAATAAAATCTGTCATTGATTATAAAGTCCTTTGTGCTTGTTACTTCACAGATTTATTACACTCTGGCCTGGCAGCCTGGAGAGGCCCTGAGATTCTTGTCTCTAGCGCCCCACAGCTCATACCCCAAAAGGGGACAGGGACTTGTTGGCATTTCTTTTGTCCTCCAAGGGCCAAGCACTTTGGAAATTTAGATGAAGAGCCGTGAATCATGCCACAGACACACAGATAACAACAGCTCATTCTAGAGGGCTAACACTTGCTAGCCAAGGAAACATGTCCCTTCCCTTTTAGCTTTTAGCAGAGTGCAGACAAAAGTGATTCCTCTGCAGAGCCTCTCACTAAACATCCCAGTGTCTGGGCCCACTCTGAATGTGTGCTAGCCTCTTTCAAACCCACCACAGAAGGAGCAGCAATAACGCCGGCAAAGCAATCGCCGATCATCTCTCCTTAGACCTTACCCATAAACCTCACAATGTTCTGCTCATGCTGCTGTTGAAGAAATAGAAGCCCAGAGAAAGTGATCAAGGTGCTTAAAGTCTCACACAGCTAGGTAGTAATGGAAATGGGACATGAGCCAAGTCCTAAATGACCTCATAGGGGTCATATGGATGCTGCCACTTCCCAGACCGGGTTGACGTGAAGCCACAGCCACAGCACACAGTACTGGAGGTGAAACGGGGTGGCTACCAGACTTCCAGGATTTAGAGGGGACATGGGGCTTTCCCAGAGCAACAGAGCTGGTTAGAATCACAAGCTGACTCAGTCATAGAAGAACTGGATAGTACAGGGAGAACTTTTCATTTGACATCTACCTGGGGAATGATTTTAAAGAAACCTAATAGTTCCTGTTTCTTAGAGCTATCAGTTTGCTACACTGGGGTGTGGGACTTCCAATCACAGGGTTTCTAACTTCTTACTTCCTGTTTTGTGAGTTGAAGGCAACCTTCCTTCCCCAGAATGTATGGCTTAGAGGAAGGGAGGCTGAGGTCCCCTCAACTTCTACCCTATCTCTAGAAAGAACACTCTTCATCCCAGTCCATCAGGCCAAGAGCCTGATCTTAACAGAATGGTCCCCGAGAGCAGAACGACTGTGTGGGAAGCTGTGGAAGTAGAGGACTGGAAGATTTAGATCCATACTCAGCCATCAACATTCTTATTACTCTGAGCTGCAGCCCGAGCTATTAAAAACAAAACATGTTCATTGGCAAGCTCCACAATTAGCCTCATTTCCACGCTCCAGCCCTGTTCAGCACGAGCTGCCTTTGCACAGATTGCTTCTTGTCTGCGCTGTGCTGTTTGGAGGGCTGTTCTGGGAGCTAGCGAGGATGTGACCCAGTGGTAATCTGAATTGCTTCACCAAACACATTTTTATCCCATCATCTCGGCCACATGAAAGGGGGCCACAGTGCTCCAGTGCTCAAAACTTTACAATCCCGCTGTTCGGCAATAAAATGAGGCAAGAAATATTAGCCGTCCCTGGCTGATGCCTTAATTCTTTCGGAACAATGTCGGAGAATCTGTATCCTACAGGTTTTAGTGCCTGCTAAAGCCTGACCCTCGAGCTGGCTTGAATGGAGCCAGAATGAGTTAAGGAGGGCGAGGAGGCTTTAATGGACAAGGATCCGAATAGCCCAGCTTGTGCGGCCTCCTGCCGAGTCACCCTCCTTTTCACAGGCCTCGATTGTGTTTGGCCCCAGCAGAGACAAAACTACCCCTGAGCAGAGGCTACCCCCAGCTGGCACAGGTCAGAGGCATTCTGGGGGAGAAAAGAAAAGGGGGGCAAGGGGAAGTGAGGGGCACATGGAAAAGGAGGGAAATGAGGTGGGGGAAGGACATTTGTAAGGAAAGATGGCCAAGGCCATTCATCTGGAGAGATCCAGCTACGGTGCTGGGTCTTGATAGCCTCTCATCTTCAGGCAAACCACTTTGGGAAAACAGCACAAATGGGACCTACATATGAATGGGAAGTTGAGCACCCTGTGCATTAATTTTCAAAATAATATTTATTTATAGACATGATAAATTCTAACCTATGCACTTCTAAAAAGCACAAGTCTCAGAGCTCCGGGTTGGATGAACTTTAATGTGACAGAGATTTTTTTTGAAACTGTAAGTGGGTTGCATTATACACTGGGAGAAACTTTTTTTTCCAGGAAACTTTCAAGGATTGCATTGTGATCCTCCCATGAAAATTAATTATTTTGGTTCCCAGAGCCCAAGCCACCAGATAAGAGGAATATTTGGGTTCACAATTGTGCAGATTATTGCCATGCAAGACAGAGGGTGTCCATGAGCTGGATATATAGAAGAACATGGGTTTGGAGGGTCCTGTCTGTCCCTCTAAAGCAGTGGTTCTCAACTTGTTGGTCACAACCCCTTTGTGCAAATGATCTTTTCACAGGAGTCACGAAAGACCCCTGGAAAATATAGATATTTACATTGCAAGTCATAACAGTAACAAAACTACAGTTTTAGTTGGGTCATCACAACCTGAGGAACTATATTAAAGGGTCGCAGCATTAGGAAGGTTGAGAACCACTTTAGACTTAAAGATTCCTTAATATTTAGGGCTCTGGCCTCCTTTCTCAGTCTGCTGAATTCTATGGACCCCATCCCTAAAGAACGTTTTCAAATGTACAAAATGAAATACCCAGGCTAATAAAAGGGAATCAACAGCCCTGTAATTATGAAAAAAAAATTAAAAGCAACTCAGCAGCTTAATAACATATGAACATGCTATTACATATTGTTTTTTCATGTTACATGTTGAACATAATAAATATTCCATTTCATTAACTCTCTAATTACAATAATTTCAATGTAGTTTAAGCAAAATGTTTGCTTTGGAAAATGACTGAGTAGTGTCGATCTGTGAAAAAGCCATACTTCTAGCACTGTGATTGATTGTTTGTTTGCATACCATTAGAAACTAAGTTTCTGCTAAGTTTCAGTTAAAGTTAGTGACAACAGTCGGCCAGATTTTCCCCCTCTTGGACCTCTGGTTTTATCTGTGGGGAAGTAACTTTGCTGGGGTGGAGCACCTTTGGGGCCCTTCTGCCCCAGGGCTAAACTGACTAGCAGGGGTCAGGGGCGCCCTACGCTAGCACTTTAGGAAGAATTCTTTTCGAGAAAACCGTGAACTTTTTCTCTTCCCTCTCTGATGCTTTGAAACTTTTTATAAAGTAAATTGAAAGCATGCTCTTTTCTTTTTTAGCGACCCTGTCCGAAGATTTATAAGGACCTTTGATGTATTTCTTCAACAACCGGAATCACTGTTGCCAAATAAAGGGTCGGTTAATCGGATAATTCTAATTCTGTATTTTGATCAAGATCTTGCTTTCCACTGCCCGAGTTAGGTCGGTTGAGCCTTGGAGCCACACACACCCCTTTTGTTGTTGTTAAACCCCAGAGCTCCTGTTCCCAAGGCTGCACCTTTGCATTTTGAGCACACACTGGCTCAGAGACAGCTAGGCACACATCCCCTCTGGGGTCCTCATGGGGGAGCTGTCATCTTCCAACCACATAGCCATAGCATGCCTTTGCAGGGGCAACCCCGCAGGCGGCCCCCCCTCCGAAGGCTTCCCAGCCCCCGCGACGCCCAGGCTCAGCTGCAGGCAGCGACACTCCGGAGCCGGCCACGGGGTTGGGTCTCCGGCTCTCAGCGGGGGAGCAGGGAGCGCGCTCGCCCACGCCCACGGCCCTCACACTCGCGATCGCACACCCCGGCGCGCGCACGCCCGCACACCAGAGCTCAGGCACAGCACACCAGGGCCACAGACGGGTTCTCAGCGGTTGCGAGTGGGGACACAGCCGATTCCCCTCCGAAGGCGCCCTCGGCCACCCCGCCCCTCCCCGCCCCTCAAACTCGCCAGTCCGGGCGCCACTCCGTGGGTTGCAAAGTTTGCATCGTGAGGCAATCAAGGGAGCGCGCCGGCTGGGCTCGGCTGGGCTCCACGAGGCTCCGGACAGCTGTGACCGCTGGTCCCGCAGCGTGGATGCATTGCGCTCAGCGCTGCCGCCGAGAGCCAATCGCACTACCTCGAGTCGGGTCACAGGAGCTGTCCGAGTCCCACGCGGACCCTCCAAACTTAGACGAGGTGTGCAGCCAACCCTGAGCCTTCCCTGTTTGTCCTCCTGGACTCAAACCCTTCGCCACCATCACTCAGCCATGTCTTCTCTTCCTGCTCGGATCAGTTTGGGGTCCCAGCTGCTGCCGATGGTGCCTCTGCTCCTGCTGCTGCTGCAGGGCGTAGGCTGCGGCCACAGGGGCCCATCATTGTCCTCACTGCCCTTGGCAGCCGACGGTCTACAGAGGGACAAGGACCCCCAGCATTCACCTGGGGAAGCTGCAACTGCGCTGGGCCCAGGAGCCCAGGATATGGTCGCTGTCCACATGCTCAGGCTTTATGAAAAGTACAACCGACGGGGCGCTCGACCAGGAGGAGGCAACACGGTCCGAAGTTTCAGTGCCAGGCTGGGTAAGTAGAAGCTACATCGGGACACAGTCCTCCTTATTCATAGAGTCCTCTTATCTATCCTCTCTATTTCTTTACGGCTCTGCTTCCCACCTCCTATCTTGTACTGACTTTTATTTCATCCTTTCACTGACAATCCATTCTGTTCTCTGTACCTGGCTAGAGTTTGCAGTGGAGACCAAAGTGGCATTGGGAGGGAGATCTCCTGCCCCTGGAAACTTCCACAGTTGCTGGACAAAGGTCAGCATATACAGAAGGCTTTAGGCACAGAGTGGAGACAGACATGGGCTGGAGAACAATCCATGGTGTTAAGTTGTCTTGACACTTGCTGTATGACAGAGGAGCATGGTTGGCGTGTTACAAGGCAGTGCTGGTGCAGGTACCAAACGCTGGACCCAGGTAGGAAGCATGATTGGGATGACAAGGAAACAATGTGCTCTCTGAAGGGCCTGCGTTCCCATGACTTCAGAAGACAGGTTTTAAGAAAGGTCCAGAAGCACCTTGTCCCTCTCCTGGGCCATGCTCCACGTCTCTACTTGCCACACCAAGAGTTGGGCTTGGCGGATGCTCCCTCCCTACCCTCTTCTTAGAGAAGGTCACTCTGAGCTTCAGCCCACTGACTTCGGATTGAGCAGCCCTTGCCAGCCCCGGCCTAAGTGCAGAGGAAGTGCAGCCTAGGAAGCAGGTGGTGAGAAGACCCTGGTTGTCATGGTGACTGCTCAGAGTTTCAGAATGCTTTCCAGAAAATATGGTCAGGGGTCTCCTGCAGTTGTCTGAGAGGAGACTGTTCCTCAAGGAGAAATCCTGCAGCTGGCAGTCTTCTCTCCCAAGAGCGGTAGGAATGAACTGCAGCCAAGTTTGAGGTGGAAAAATGTAGGTTCAGAGCATGTGTCCTACCTGATGCTCACTGGCTTCAGGGCCCTGGTGACATTGTGCCTTCAGATTCAGACATAACACGGGTGAGGGATCGACTCTCACAAAGAGGCACATCCTCCATCATGCTAACCAGGTCAGTGTCCCTCTGGCTTCCCCCATACCTTTTATTCAATACCCGGAGTTCATTTCTGGAGAAACATTATTAAGTCACTTAAGAAGCATTTGGCCCAATTGAGTTAATTCCCTGAAACTGTGTGGACTTGTTTGTAGTCTATAAAATGGGTAGTGTGTGGTAGTATCTCCCCTCATGGTTGAAGCTAGATGGCATGAAGTAAGAACATCAGTTCTGAGCCCTTGGCCGGACTGGGTGGTGTTGCACGTTGTAACTCCGGGAACAAAAAGCACTGTGATGAGCACTTTGTGCACATCTAGGCTTGAACTTGACCTTTGTTGCCCTTTTTGTCCTTGAAGTCTTGAAGTGGAGGGATAAAGGTCTCCAAGGTCACCACTGCAATAAGAAGCGAGCATGCCCACTGGTTACAAGCACCTGCGGCAGCCCATTCAATAAGGGGTGCAGTTCTGTCTGTTTTCACCAATCAGAGGAAATACTTCCTAGTACAAATAGCGGCGGACATTTTAACCCCGACAGATGGCCGGGAAACTACACCTTAAATCCAGCACCCCCATTTTGCAGAGAAGGACAGAAGACCAGGACAAGGGAGGAAGTTATTGTACCTGTCAGACAGTAATAGCTGTTCTCACTGCCACGTACCACCACAGTCTCTCCATCAGAATGAAGCCCAGAGTCTGGGAACAGAGCATCAGGGTGTAACAGACCGACATGTTTAAGAAATCAGAGCTCTAGTCTAGTCCTGAAGGGTCTGAAAATACCTCTTATTTGGATTCATTATACAAACTAAAGAGTGAACTACAGAAGTTCCAGCTAAAGAAGTTCCAGCTTTCCAGGCCACTGGCTGTGCGCCACCGCACATATCACTTGCCTGTTCTGGGCATCATTTCTTGTGTGCACACAGAGGGGGTGACCACTGAATAGAAGGTAGATTTGTGCCTGGCACAGAGTCGGAGCCTGTTTCTTGTGCCTTGCCTTGGCTCATCTAAATTGTTCCACACCTAGTCTCAGACGTTCTTGTCTCTTGTCGGAAGGTCCATCTGTGGGGTGTTGTGAGAAGGGCACAGACTCCTTGCCACAGCCTCCCAGGTAAGCACATCCTGCCAGACAGCAAACGCACCCACTCCCAGAAGCTGTTACCGCCGCTTCTCCCTCCTCTGCAGCAAGACCCGGGCTCCGAGCATGCGCTAGCATCCTGATCCCGGTTCTGTGATCCAGCCACAGGACTGCAATTCTCATGACTAAGAGTTTCTTTCCACTTTTAAACTGTGACTCTGCTCCTGATTAATAACATTTTTTTTCAAGGAGCTCAGATATGGCAAGGACTTTGAGCAGTTCTTGGTATGTGCTCGTTTGCAATTTATTAGCTCTTAACTGTGATTCCAGCAGCTTTCCTTGTACCCTTCCACTCCCCTCTCCTGATGTGCAGCTTGTTCCCCCGTGGTCTGCATCTGTGGAGGAAAAGCCTTTGAGTTGGCTCTAAATTCAGGTTAGACCGCCGTTTACCTCCACGCTCCCAACGAGTGATTTGTGTTTAATTCCAAGCTGGACCCCTACCAATGTGATACCGAGCTAGTTTTCTTCCTCTCCCAGACATACCCAGCTGTCAAAACTGCCAAGTCAAGCTGATTTCATTCTCTGGTGAAGTATCCCAATTCTGTTACTGGAGAGAATTGCCAGAAGTCGAGTAGCTCATGGAGGAAAAAGATATTTACCTAGCTTGCGTTCTGAGACTGGAAGGCGAACCATCGTGGTAGTGGCTCTGGTGGAAAACCCTGGGGTTAAATCATAGTGTCACGGTTCTGTTGTGGCTGGAAAACTTGTGAGAAGGACTGGTCATGAGGCAAGACAGAGCAGCAGAAAGCAGGAAGAACAGGTAGCCTTTAGCCAGGTGTAACAGCCCCTCTCTTGGGAACTAAGTGAAATCTAAAGGGAGACATATCTCAACTGACTAATATTTACCCATTAGGTGCCACCTCTTAAAGGTTTCAGTACCTTTAACTATTGCTACCCTGGAAACTGAATGCCCTGCATTTGCAGAATCCAAAACATAGCATCCGCTTTTCCTAAGCATTTCACTTGGAGGACATAAAGATGCTCAGAGTGATGGTCTCGCCCAAAATAGCTCAGGACCTGGGGAGGACCCAAAGGCTAGTGCAGTGGAATGTGGGTGTTAGTGTAACAGCAGCTGGGGTGCTCTGCGGGATCCCTAAGGGTAGCACTGACAGGGAGGGGCCAGTGAGGTCTTCACAGACAGAAAGACCCTAGTGTGTTGATGGGCGGGTTGAATGCAGAAGGGAGACAGTCCATTGTGTGTTGGGGCTGTTGGGCATTTGGTTAGGAGAAAACTGTGGAGGGAAATAAGTAGAATGCAGCCAATCCCTGAGGACCTTGATTTTAACTGCTGACAATGGAACAATGTACCATGTGTACACCAGAGAGGGGGGAGATAGAGAGAAAGGGAAGGGGTGGGGAAAAAAAGAGAGAAGACAGGCTGTTTTTTAAACACAGTAACAAATGATAAGTTATTCTTATCACACATCCTGATACAACCAGCGTTAAAGTAATATTTTGTGGACTCAGTTCAGCCCTGCACTAACAATGCACATATGTCTACAGACCGTGCACATAGCCACTAACCTAATGGGGCTGCGTTTTCTTTTTTGTTTTTTGTTTTTTTTTGTTTTTTGTTTTTTGTTTTTTTGTTTTTTCGAGACAGGGTTTCTCTGTGGTTTTAGAGCCTGTCCTGGAACTAGCTCTTGTAGACCAGGCTGGTCTCGAACTCACAGAGATCCGCCCGCCTCTGCCTCCCGAGTGCTGGGATTAAAGGCGTGCACCACCACCGCCGGGCTGGGGCTGCGTTTTCTTCATGCAGGTATTCCCATCTGCAGCTCTCCTTGAGGTCTCTGCAGTTCTTCCCCTGGAAAAGACCTCATCCTATGGGTTTTGCTGAGGTTCTTTACATAGCGGGGACATTAATCTTCATATCCTATAGGTGACACTTTTGGAGCTTGCATGGGACATCAAGGATTGACAATTCTAGGATAACTGTTATAGTCGAGACCAGGCGAGAAGGAAGCCACGGTGAGGCAGATGCAGCATCTAAAAAGCCTACAGTGACTGAGGTTGGTGTGAAGCCAGAAGGGGGCAAGAAAGAGAATTTTCTGCCAGTGTTGGAAGGGTTGGATGACTAGTTCAGCCTCCTACTCAGAAAGACCCATGAAACAGATGCTCAGCGCAGGCCCGGCCCCCTTCTCCACTGCTTCCTATCTCCAGCTCGCGTAGAAGTTTGCATCGTCTCCATGGCATGCCTGCTCTGCTGTCCCTGGTGACTGTTCCAGGGACAATGAGGAAAGGGTGGCTGGAATCCTGTTCATATGGGACAGAGCCCTCTGTGTGAGTTGCTACTCTTAGGCTGAGACCATCAGAGTACTGTCCCATTCCCACCGTCACCAGGATGAAGCTGAGTGTTCTGCTAAGAGGTTGCAACTTCGAGAATCCCAAAGATCCACAGATATTATATTGTTTACGTAAAAGCAATCCTTTTTTCTGGGAAATACAGAAATCAAAATTACCTATTTTTTCTTACAGCGGGTGATATTTGTTTATACACTCTTGGACACACCATGACAATAGAGCACACGGGAGAGCAAAGGGCATGTGTTTCAGGTGAGATCCACCTGGGGTCACACCTTATATCTGCCTCTTGGCTGCTATAAGACATCAGGCTAGTTACCTGCTCTTTCCAGCATGCCAAGAACTTCCCTTCCAGAGCCTGCTCTGGCCCCACCCCTTCCTGTCTTCTCAGGGTGCAGGGTCTGCAGTAGGAACCCATCATTCCTACCTGCTTCTGAGCAGCAAGCAGCCACCAGGTCTTGTGCTAGTATCCAGAGTTACAGCATGAAGTACAGCCAGCAAAGCCTCTTGGGGTGTGTGTTCTGGAGGGATATGCAATAATAAATACACGTCAGGATATTATGAGTGACGAGAAGACAAAGTCAGGGTGAAGAATGTGAGTGGCTCTTCAGCCGCAAAGCCAAAAGGGGACACCGTATGAGGTAGAGATCTGGAAGAGGCCTAGGTGACCAGGAAGCCACGGAGGCAGACGAAGGACCATGCCTGTCATGTACCTCTCATCAGAAGGCCAGGAGAATGGGACCTGGGGTGGGGAGGACAGCTGTAACTGGGGAGGTTGGCAGGACGTTCAAGCGGGACACGAGTAAAGAATGGAGTATTTAGGTGTCAAGGGCCTGAATGGAAGCCGTATGCAATTTAAATGTCCCCATAAACCTTGTTTAGAGTGCTTTGCAAAGCTGTAATGTGGTCGGCCCCAAGGGTAACTGTGATCATTATTATTCTGTGTTCCCAAGAGGCCTTCAAGCACCTTCACCTGCCTTTGCCGGGACTCCAAGCAGCCCGTCACTTAGCAAGCACAGACCTTTTGCAAATGTTTATTGGGAAACTGAATGGATAACTGAAGGACAAGGGGAGGGAAGCCGTCTTCTCATTGGCCGCGAGAGAGGAGCCACAGTGCTCTAGTGTGGTATACAGGACAGAGGGACTTTGCTTGTTTTCTTCTCGGTGCCCTGTGCCCCACTTAACTGGAAACATCAGAAGTGCCTCCACTCTCAGTCACAGCCTGGAGCTTCTCTAATGCATGCATGGGCCCGCCCCCCAACTCTGGGCTTGAGGGTGACCCATCTGGACCTCAGCATCTCCTGCCAGGAAGCATCTTTTTGAGAAATTTGTCCAGTGAGCGGTGAGCTCCCTCTACCTAGATGCATTCAATTCAAGTGTAGTCAAATCTTTCCTTTTCACCTGGCCTCTGGAGGTTCCTCCCACTCTGGACCAATGAGCAGCATAATTGATTAAGAAATACCTGAACTAGATAACAGATAAACAAAAGCTGCCAAGTCAGATGTTATAGAGACTAAGTCGTGTGTGAACACGTTTGAGTTTGCATAGGAAACCCTTGCTCTGCCATCCTTGATCCTTTACATAAAAATGGCAGGGAAGTACCTTTGCGGGCAGCCCCTGTGCCAAGCATATGGCATGTGCCATTTCTTTAGTCCGGCAAGGATCCCACAGGCTGAGGGTTCTAGTCTTCCTAGGAGACTAATGAAAGAATAAGGTTTAGAGTATGATGCTCACCTCTAAGGCCGAGAGCTTGTCTTCTAGGGTGTTTGCAGCTTAGAGGTGTATGCTGCATAGCGAGCTTCCCTCTACACGGATCAGTGGGTGGGAGGCAGAAGGTGGCACAGGCTATCCCCTGGATGTCTACATGCGTGCTGTAAGGATCCCCAGGCTGCAGCCAAGAGCAGGGACACCTCCCTGCAGCTTCCAGCTATGAAGTTCTGCACGTTCACACACCTCCCCTGAGGTGAGTGAGTCTCCAGCTTCCCCCATAGTCTTAACTCCAAGACGTGCCAGTTAGGATATGGGCCTCCGAGTCATGACACTCAAAGCCACAAAGTTCTGGGAGGCCAGGTTTTAAGTCCTCAGGACCCAGCATCACTTCACATACGGGGCACGTGCCAACTGCATAGGCACGTGCCAACTGCATAGGGACCCGGTAAGGACATCTCCAGTCTCTCCTCAGCCCACTGTAGGTGTTTCTCCACTTCTTTATACTTTGTGGGGTCCATTAAGGGAGCTTGAATATTCTCGATAGAGTTATGATTCCTTCCCAATAGAAACAAAATACTGAGCCAGTGTGTGGGTTTTTGAGAATTTTTTTAAAAATTATTATTACTTTCGGTTTATGTGTGAGTGTATATGTACATACTCAAGAAAACCAGAGAGTGGCATCAAATCCTCTGGAAGTTAAGTTACAGAGAGCTGTGAGCTATTGTGTAGGTAATGGGAATCGAACCTGGGTCCTCTACAGAAGTGGCATGTGCACCTAACTACTGAGCACCTTTCCAGTCCTAAGCCAATGGTTCTTGAAAAATGATCCCAGCTCATCCTCTGGATACAGGTGTCATATAGACTGACCTGTCTCTTGAAGAGCGTAATCTCCCCCTCCCTGGTACACACCCCCTGGGCTTATGAGCTCTGAGTCTTTCCCTGATGTATTAAGCAGACAGGCCTTCGACTGGAGAAGGAGGAGGAGGAGACGGGGGAGGGGGAGGAGGAGGAAGAAGAAGAGGAGGAGGAAGAGGAGGAGGAGGAGGAAGTCCACCCAGCCACTTTGGTCTCCTTCTAGTCTGTGTATCCCAAGACTTCTTCTCCTTGTGAATCCTAGACCTCCTTCTTGTAGAGAGTTTGCATTGCTGCCAGGACTGGAGTTGCAGGTGGCCCTGGGGAACACCTGGTAGAACCAGGAGCAGACAGGGCTTCCGGCTACTCCTGGAAAGCAGAAGTTTACTATACACACACACACACACACACACACACACACACACACACACACCTGCTAAATGTGCCTCGCCCTCCTGTGCGTGGGTCTCCAGATGGCAGTGTGAACCTTGGAGTGGAGGTACCTACTGAAATTTCCATATTGCTATCTTGTTGAAAGAACAATTTTTGTTTGTTTTGTTCAAGATAAGATCTCTCTGTGTAGCTCTGGATATCCCAGAACTCTAGATATTACTTTGTAGCCTGTAACTCACTCTGTAGCCTCAAACTCACAGAGATCCTCCTATCTCTACCTCCCAAGTGCTGGGATTCAAGTCATACACCACTATGTCTGTGTGTGTGTGTGTGTGTGTGTATGTGTGTATATATACAAGTGTATGTATATGTATGTATATATATACAAGTCCTAGGACAGAACCCAACAAGTGTGGCCTTAATTCTATATTATCTTAGAAGGTCCTAAGGCTGCAGCGAAAAATAATGAAGATCTCCTTATTTCACCTCATCTGGAAGAGCTATCACATTACCAGAAGTTACCTTTAAAAACTGCATAGTACAGAGTGCTGGGCAAATACTGGACCAGCTGCCTTGAGGCAGGTCTTGGATCTAACCCAAACCATCACAAACTCTTCATGAAGGTGTCAGTGACACGGCTTTTTTCTTTGAAAGCCAATGGGAGGTGAGGAGGGAACATCAGGAGCTTTAGTGTCTTATAGACTTGATCATTGCCCTCTCTATCCCTCCCTCCCCTCTTTTTCTCTCTCTACCTCCCGCTCCCCACCCCCCCTTCCTGGTTTTATCTTCATTTCTCTCAGTGAAAGGGTGACAATTCCTTACCTTTGGATCTCAACTGTACAAGTTTATTGAGGATAATAAAGGAAATTCTCAGGCCTGCAGTGTAAGGCCTGCAGGAGCTGAGGGAAGAGAAAGGAGTCTGGCTTGGAAGTACTGGGTCGGTGGGAATTGTACCACTACCCCAAGAACAGGATGCTCTTCAAGAGAAAATCTAACAGGCTGTGGTCTGTCTTTCTCTTGCAGAAGTGGTCAACCAGAAGCCTGTGTATTTCTTTAATTTGACATCCATGCAAGACTCGGAAATGATCCTCACAGCGACCTTCCACTTCTACTCAGAACCCCCACGGTGGCCCCGGGCACGTGAGGCATTATGCAAGCCGCGAGCCAAGAATGCATCTTGCCGCCTCCTGACCCCAGGTCCACCAGCACGCTTGCACCTAATCTTCCGCAGCCTCTCACAGAACACGGCCACGCAGGGGCTGCTCCGCGGGGCCATGGTTCTGGCACCTCCGCCACGTGGCCTGTGGCAGGCCAAGGATATCTCATCGATGGTCAAGGCTGCCCGAAGAGATGGAGAGCTGCTCCTCTCTGCCCAGTTGGATTCTGGGGAGAAGGACCCCGGGATACCCAGACCCAGTCCCCATATGCCCTATATCCTTGTCTATGCCAATGACCTGGCCATCTCAGAGCCCAACAGTGTGGCAGTGACTCTGCAGAGATACGACCCCTTTCCAGCTGGAGACCTGGAACCTCGCACTGCCCCCAACAGCTCAGCGGACCCCCGCGTGCGCCGGGCAGCTCAGGTCTCTGGACCCCTGCAGGACAATGAACTGCCAGGATTGGACGAGAGACCAGCACCTGCCCTGCATGCCCACCACTACCACAAGCATGACTTCTGGCCCAGCCCCTTCCGGGCACTCAAACCCCGCACCGGGCGCAAAGACCGCAAGAAGAAGGACCAGGATACGTTCACCACCTCCTCACAGGTGCTGGACTTTGATGAGAAGACGATGCAGAAAGCCAGGAGGAGGCAATGGGATGAGCCACGGGTCTGTTCCAGAAGGTACCTGAAGGTGGACTTTGCAGACATCGGGTGGAATGAATGGATCATCTCGCCGAAATCCTTCGACGCCTACTACTGTGCTGGGGCCTGTGAGTTCCCCATGCCCAAGGTACCACTCTGTGTTCTGATCTTGTCTCATACTAACTTGGCTCTGCCCTGTTGGCCATCTTTCTGTTGGCCCGACCTGTTTCATTATTTGCAAAATGGAGATGATATATCTCCTGTCTGCAGAGGCAGACACTGCCTGTTAGGGTTGATTTGGTTTGGAGGTGCTTTTTTTTAAAAGTGTTGGCTTTGTTTTGTTGTTGTTGTTTGTTTGTTTGTTTCCTGAGACAGTCTCTCTGAACGTCTCTCAGGCTGGCTTCAGTCCTCCTGGTTAGCCTCCCATCTTCTGGGACTAGAGACATGTGTCACTCACTAATACCTTTAACTGGAATCTTTAAAGCAAGGCATTGCTTCCTAGATGCAAGGAAAAGGGCATTCCCAGAGAGCAGACATCCTCAGAGATTGAGTCAGTGCTGCCTCCCTGTGGACAAGTCAGGTATCCAACGTTCCCTCCTGACCAAGGCTCTCCTACCTGTTCTAGTCTGAACCAGGAGCACTGATGCTGGTGATCGGGCTGCTCTGGGTGTCAGTAGTTCTCCCAGTGGGCTCCCCTACTGCTTTGGGTGTCAGTGGCTCTCCCAGTGGGCTCCCCTACTGCTTTGGTTGTCAGTGGTTCCCCTGGTTTGTCCCATCCAACAGCCAAGCCAACCTTCCCAGTGCACAGAAGTCTGAAAGATACACAGTCCTGGACTGTTTCACCTTCCTGGCACTGAATTTTCACCTTCCCCCAGGCTGGGTTAACTCCATCTGTCATCTGCGCGGTGGTAGGCTGCCCACGTCACCCCTCAGTACCCACTGCAGTTTCCCCTGCTTCGTTAACTCTGCAGACTCCTCTGTGGTCTATCTTCCAAGAAAGAAAGTCGGTGTGTAAATTCAATCTGAACCTCGATAAACAGACCAAGTGGGAAATCCCAGGCCCAGATGTGGGCCATATAATCTGTCTGGAATTAAGGGCCTTCTCAGATCCGTGCACATACAAGAGAGGATGGGAGACAGCTAGTGAAGAGAGGTGCACTGCTAAAGGGCTTCACATGGGCCCAGGACAGATGTGGCCTCGCAGCTACTGAGTTTTCAGGCTGGCTTGCTGCCTCCCCACTTTCAGAACTGACTGAACCCCACACATGGTCTTGCCCTTCTCTTGATGCCTCCTCTCTATGCACCAAACACACACACACACCACACACACACACACACACACACACACACACACACACACACACGGCTTCTTGTTAGCCACAGCTCTCATCAGCCAGTCAAGAACTGAAGCCTATTACCTGGCCGGCTGTGTTCATCTTTTCAGAAGTGGCCCCAGTTTCCAAGCCAGGCCAGGCCACTTCCTGAGGCATCTCTACCATGCGTCTTAGTCATTTGACTATCTGGTAGTCATTTGGTATCTGTTTCAGTAAAATGAAGGTCACACTGTCCATATAAATTAATAAGGTGTCAAGATGCAACAATGCCCTAGTGTTGATGTCACCCCAAGTCCAGCACTTATTGCAATGCCTGTCTGCAGCCCTTGCTGCACTAAGTACATCATTTTAGTTTCGGCCACAGTTTCTCTGGGCCTGTGGCTGCTGGCTGAAGCATGGTTCTAGGCCTGCGAACCTTCCTTCCAGCTCAGCACAAGGTACTCCTAGGAAGGTGACATGCAGGTGCCCCCAAGTGGTCAGTTTCAAGCAGTAGATGTGACACCCCTTTAAGAGTAGAAAAAGTGGGCACCTAAGGGCACCAGGACTGAGGCTGTGGCTGATTTCAGAGGAAGCATGTATCTGGCTCCGGGCAGAAGCTTTTTCTTCCAGGCCACCCATTGCATGGCCTTATTCGAGAAACTGTGGTAAGCCCTTTTCTCTGAGCTGTCTTTTCTCATCTTGCAGATTGTCCGCCCATCCAATCATGCCACCATCCAGAGCATTGTCAGAGCTGTGGGGATTGTCCCTGGCATCCCAGAGCCATGCTGTGTTCCAGACAAGATGAACTCCCTCGGAGTCCTTTTCCTGGATGAGAACCGGAATGTGGTTCTGAAGGTGTACCCCAATATGTCTGTAGAGACCTGTGCCTGTCGGTAAGACAGCTTCAAGGTGGAAGACAGTCTGGCGTCATCCCAGCCCTGCAGAGTGGCATTCCTGGAGGCAGGACTTGACTCGGGGCAGCTGCAGGTGCTAGAAAGAGCTTGTAGGCAACCCTGCTGGGACCTAGAAAGATCTGTACACAGTGCCATTGTTCTTCAGTTTTCCCTTAGCTCTGTAAAGACTCTGAGTTCCTGGAAGGAGCCTGGAATCAACTATGGTCTCAAGCTTGCCCATCAGCCCTACCCACATTTTCCAAGGCCTGGACATAGCATGTGATGTGTCCACAATGTCGACTCTGCATTCATCATCTCATAACCCGGAAGGAATATGCAAATCATGGGGCACTCACCCCTATAGCAGGTCAAGTACTCATTCTACAACCCTCAGGCTACATACTAGAAACAGGACCTAAATCTTGGCATGAACGTGTGTTTTCTCTTACGTTTTCACTTTTATACATGCAATATGCACATGCAATCAAGATCGGTCTCTTCCTTTAATATATGTATTCTTTATTTTAAAACTAAAAGGAGAGAGTTGACTCCCCCCACAGAGGTAATAGTACAGGTTAGCTATGGGCTGTTTGAACATGCATACGGAAATAACATATACAGTAATATGTTGGAATACTAAAAAATAACCAAGATTTTATATTTTTGTAAATTATACTTTGTATACTGTAGATTGTGAGTGTTCTGTGTTTTTATGGAAAGCTAATAAATTAAAGGTACAGTGATATCTGGAAAAACTGAATATCTCCCATTCCAAAATAGCAATTGTTCCCTTATCCGTTCTGTAAATCCCTACCGTGCCTTAACATCAAAATGGGTCAGGGTTCCAAGATGGTAGAGTCACCTTCCTAGAGTTTCCTCACATCCCTAGCCCTGTGATTGGTGGATGTCTGTGGCAGCCTTTGTCTTGAGTGACAAGAACAGGTCTTTTAGTGGAAGCAATAAAAACAGGAGAATTGACATAAGCAGTTAGGGAATATCTCAGGAGCTCCAGTTCAAGAGGGGCTGGGAGGGCTAAATAATCTCCTTTACATGTTTTCAGAATACAAGGCTGTCTCCCAACAGCCCTCTCACAAACAGCCACCCCAAATGACACCCCAAATAACTCAAGTATTGGCATGATCTTTGCCTTCCTTGCAGTGGTAATTACTGAAGCCCCGAGCTGAACATGTTTTTAAAGGAGAATACTGGTCCAATCTGAGACAGATGCACCACAATCCCATCAGCCAAGTCCTGAGCGATAATGTTGGTCAGAGCCTCAACAAAAGGACTGTAAATCTGCTAAAGCTAAGAGGGGGGGTGAGCTGAGAAGCAGCTGGGTTGTGCATGGTGTTTAGTATGCTTTAAGGTAGTGTTCTAGGAAACACAGGTAAGATGGAGAATTGTGCACGCCACCCCCACACAACCACCACATCCCCCTGGGTCTGTGAGGTGCTCTGTTGTCTGCATAGCCCTTCAGTGAGCAGAGCCCTGGGGAAGGGGAGTTGGCAGTGAAGCAGCTTCAATTCCAAGCTGCTCCAGAGTGAACCACTAACTCTACTCAGGTGGCCCCAGTAAGAAAGAGCTAGTCTTGATTGGAGGAGAACATTGCAGTTACCACCTACGTTGGAGCATGTGACCATGGTGTGTCAAGGAGGTTAAAAGGCAACCTGTCTGAGAGACCAGGAGGAAACCAGTTCACAAGCTCCAACTGTGGGCTGTGCACCACAGCACTGAAATGAGAGCTCAACTTAGTCTATGCTACTTTACCAACACCTAAAAATAAATATAAATGGAGACTGCACTTAGGTTTCCTGGCCACCCAGACCCAAATAATCACACAGAGACTCTATTAATTACAACACTGTTTGGCCAGTGGCTTAGGCTTATTCCTAGGTAGTTCTTACCTCTTACATTAACCCATTTCTAATATATTTTACCATGAGGCTTGTAGTTTGTTACCTCTTACTTCTTGGGAGCCTACATGGCGTCCACCTGACTCCACCTTCTTTCCTCCTCTCCTTCAGTTTATTTTTCCTGCCTAAACAGTTGTCCTGCCACAGGTCAAAGCAGCTTCCCTATTAATCAATGGCAATAAAACATATTCACAGCACGCAGAGGGGAATCCCACATCAAACTAAGCTTTCTCAGATGATGATGCTTCTCCAGGTTCTGTTCTTCTCCATTCTACTCCCCAAAGCTGGTGATGCTCACTGGAGCTTGGGTCTCCTTCCATGCCTCTGGCAATTGTCACTTAAGCCCCATCCAATCCTAGGCTCCCTCCTCTAATCTCTTCCAGTGCTCTTGATTGTATGAGTTGGGAGTGAAAAGGTGTGAGTAGCTCTGTTTATGTATTCAAATATTTAACATTTTTTATGTGTCAAATATCATGATAAACCATACAGCTGCCCCCCTGTAGGCAAAAACTGCTTGTACGTTTCTTGGCCACCCATACACTAAATAATTACACAGAATTTATATTAATTACAACACTGCTTGGCCAATAGCTTAGTCTTCTTATTAACTAACTCTTATACCTTGAATTAACCCATCTCTATTCATCTATGTACCACCACAAGGCTCATGGTTTACGGATAAGGTCTCCTTTAGCAGTTACATGGCATCTCTCTGACTCCACCTTCTTTTTTCCTCTGTCTGCTTGGAATTCCCACCTTACTCTATTCTGCCCTGCTGTAGGCCAAAGCAGCTTTATTGATTATCCAATAAAAGCAACGCATATACAGAAGGACTTTTCCACACCATCTCTGTGGACTCCAAATCCTTAGATTCAATCACCCTGGGATTGAAAACATTAAAAAAAAAACCCTGCATCTATACTGTGTATGTAGAAATTTTAACTCTAAAGAGTGCACCATAACAACATGGTGTAGTCTTATTTTATTTTAAAATGTTTGTTGACTTTCAGTGGACACATAGAAGTTGCACACATCTGCAAGATGCAACATAGCATTCTAATTCATATGAACAATATAGTGATTAGATCAGAGAAATTGCCTTATCAACAGGAGCATGCGCTATTTCATTTCTGCATTTCTTTGTAGTTGTTTTAAGCTTTTTAAAAGATTTATTTTCACTTACACATGCATGCATGGGTGTGTGTGTGTGTGCATGAGTGTGTGCGTGCGTGTGTGAACCATGCAGGTGCCCATAAAGATCAGAAGAGAGCATCAGATGCCCTGGAACTGGAATTATAGGAAATTGTGAGCTATCTGACATGAGTGATAGGAACTGAATTTCAGTTCCTCTGAAGGAGCAGCAGTGTTTTTATCTGCTGAGCCATCTCTCCAGGACATTTTATAAATGGAATTGAAGCATCCTCAGACTTTGGTATATGTAGGGAAACTCAGGGACTCACCACCCACTAAGTCTGTGGGACAGCTGTTTCTTCTTGTTTCATTTTGTAGAAGACTCACACCATTCTCCTATTTTGTCAAAATTTCTGTGCTTAGAGCAAATGTTTAGCAACACATATACCCACCTGTGCATATGTTCATGTGCACACACGCGCACACACACACACGCACACACACACACGTGCGTGCACACACACTGGGGAGGGTGGATAGCACATGAGCCCCATCAAATAAAGCCAAATCTAGTGTTCAGATTGAACATGCATCAGAACCACCTGTTAGGATCACACAGCTTTCTGCTCTGTTCTGAGCCTTTGCGTTTCTAACAACCTCCCAGGTGTTAGGGTGGCTGGTCAGTGGATCAGACTTTCTGACTGGGCACTGTCACAGGCCAAGGCCAGGAATATTCAGTGAATCTGTGCTTATCATGGGCCAACTAGAAACAGGTTCTCAGGGAAGCTCTGCCCAGATCTGGTAAGCAATCCATCCTGGCTCTGTCTGCCTCTAGCCACTCCCTGCAGCTTCCACAGGGATGGATTTTTGTTCCTCTGGACAACTGTAGGAAGTCAGGCATGGTGGTGCACGCCTTTAACCCCAGCACTTGGAGGGCAGAGGTAGGTGGATCTCTGTGAGTTCGAGACCAGCCTGGTCTTCAAAGTGAGTTCCAGGACAACTGGGGCTATACAGAGAGACCCTGTCTTGAAAAAACAAAAGCAAAGAATTGCAGGGAAGAGAGTGTGTGTTCTAAGACAGAAGGGGTGTCTGATATCCTAGGACGACCATGGTATGGAAACTCAGGTGAACCCATTCTCACCTCCATAAATGACAGATGAGACCCAAGTTCCCACCTTGGGAGAACAGGCTTCAGTGACACCTGAAATAAATGGATGAACCAAATACGCCTCTTGTGTTCCCTCAGCCACGCCTCTCCCACAGCACAGCAGCTGCCTGAGACGACGTGGTGACAGTCGGAAGCTTTCTTAATCCCGAAGCATTCCAGGCCACCAGAGTTTGGCAGGGACTCATAGTACATGTCTGAGTCTGTAACTCTGGGTGTTGCTGGGTTGTGAAGCTGTAAAGAATTTTTATCTTTCATGTTTGGCCTGTCCCAGGTTTTCTTTACCATATGCTGCTATCATTGGGGGGGGGGGTGAAATTTTGTCTAGTTTTTAAAAAAATTGGGTAGCAGCCCTTTGCACTGTCAAGAGCTCCTACTGTTCACCGGGAGGCCCTTGAGCTCAGCCTCTGAGTATAGATGGGACCTGTTGACCCCAGAGGCTATGGCACGTCATGAGACTGTCCAGATGGTCCTCTAGCTCCTCCTGGCCCACTGGCATTGCCATTTTATCTCCATCTCCTGGACCTGGCCGTTGTTCCAGTCCTCTTCTTCCAGCCCTGATACATCTTACACGGAATCGGTACCCAGCACACTTCCTTATCCATCCCCAAGACAGTGTCTCCTCAACTGTGTCTTTTCCTTCTCCCCTGAATGTGTCCCTAAAGGGTAGATACAAGTTCTGTCTGCCAGTTCACCCTCCCACACTGAGTCCTCTGACCACAGCCTGCCATGGTTCATCCTGCAAGGTCTGAACTTCCTTGACCTTCTGTACCCTCTCCCCAGGAGCCCCGTTAGCACAGAACATCATACCCTATCTTCTCTGGAGTAGGCCAGCGCTCATTGCAAATATTTTTAGCTGTGCTCTTTCTTGACGGAAGCTAAGCATGGGGACACAGCTCTTAATACACAGGGTCCTTGGGCTGTCACAAGCAGCCTTCACAGGCTAGAAGCCATCTCTGGGCATGGGGTCCGTCTCAGAGCCGCCTAACTGCTCCTGTGTACCCCAACTGCTGTGTGGGTCTCCTGACTGATAGGTACGATCCAGATGGCCTCCCCACTAACATGAATCAAGTTACCCCCTGAGCACATATGCACACACACACACACACACACACACACAGAGAGAGAGAGAGACATACACACACCTACACAGGTACACTTGCACACGCCAGCACCACACAGACCAGGGACAGGGCTGGAGCTCAGGGTCTCTGGATGCATCTGTTTATGGTACTAAGGAGCAGCTGACCTAGACACAGAACTTCCTCCCCCTGATCCAACTCAGTCAGACCAGCACTGGAGGCTTGCTTGAACACAACCGCCCACTGCTAGGAGCTGCCAGCAGCTGCCTTTGTGTATGCTAACACATCTCCTAAGTCCTTACCTCTCTGCTCGTGAAAGGGAAGCTGAAAGAGCTGAGGCCACAGCTTGGGGGAACAAGCAAGGGAGTTGGGACTGGACATCACGGGCATGCTGAGTGTGCTAGGCCCATGCGCGCTCCATTCTTAATACTGAGGAGCCCTTTCCTCAGAGGACAGTGCCTAGT